TTTCATGGCAGTTTATATTTTCTTGTTACAGAGATGAAGGGATGAAAGAGGGGTAATTGATGGGGAATTTAATTCTCCCTCGAACTGCCCCTTTTTCATCCCTTAATCTCAATTAGGAGGGGTGAGGTGAATTTTCAATTACCGGGAGTCACTATGCGCCGCGAAACTATTATTTTTCCCTCTGGCCCATGACTTTCATGGCAGTTTATATTTTCTTGTTACAGAGATGAAGGGATGAAAGAGGGTTAATTGATGGAGAATTTAATTCTCCGTCGAATTGCCCTTTTTTCATCCCTTAATCTCAATTAGGAGGGGAGAGGTGAATTTTTAATTACCGGGAGTCACTGTGCGCCGCAAAACTATTATTTTTCTCACTGGCCCATGACTTTCATGGCAGTTTATATTTTCTTGTTACAGAGATGAAGGGATGAAAGAGGGTTAATTGATGGAGAATTTAATTCTCCGTCGAACTGCTCCTTTTTCATCCCTTAATCTCATTTAGGAGGGAAGAGGTGAATTTTTAATTACCACTGTACGCCGGGAGTCACTGTACGCCGCGAAACTATAATTTTTCTCACTGGCCCCTGACGTTCTTGACAGTTGAAATTTTTTTGTTACAGAGATTAAGGGATAAAAGAGTATTTATTAATGGAGAATTTAATTCTCCGTCGGACTGCCCTTTTTTCATCCCTTAATCTCAATTAGGAGGGGAGAAGTGAATTTTTAATTACCGGGAGTCACTCTGCGCCGTGAAACTATTATTTTTCTCACTGGCCCATGACTTTCATGGTAGTTTATATTTTTTGTTACAGAGATTAAGGGATGAAAGAGTGTTAATTAATGGAGAATTTAATTCTCTTTCGCACTGCGCTTTTTTCATCCCTTAATCTCAATTAGGAGGAGAGAGGTGAATTTTTAATTACTGGGAGTCACTGTGCGCCGCGAAACTATTATTTTTCTCACTGGCCCATGATTTCAATGGCAGTTTATATTTTTTTGTTACAGAGATTAAGGGATGAAAGCGGGTCAAGTGATGTGGAATTTAATTCTCCGTCGAACTGCCGTAATTCTTTAATGCCTAAAGGAGGTTAGGCGGTGTTTGAGGTGAATTTGAGAGTGAATTTCTGTGGTTCCCGGTAGCTTAGTCGGTAAGCGTGCCCGGCGCGTATCTGGGAGGCCCGGGTTCGATTCCCGGCTGGGTGAAGTGGAAATTTTTTCATGGTAGTTTATATTTTTTTGTTACAGAGATTAAGGGATGAAAGAGCGTTAGTTGTTGGGGAATTTAATTCTCCGTCAAACTGCCCTTTTTTCATCCCTTAATCTCAATTAGGATGGGAGACGTGAATTTTTAATTCGCGGGCAAATGGTGAAAAGTCAGTGTGCGCTGCAAAAGAATTATTTTTCTCACTGGCCCCTGACTTTCTTGGCAGTTTATATTTTTTTGTTACA